ATTGGGGTTCATTTTCCCATTGAACTACTTCTCACTTCTCTAACACACAGTTCAATGAGTGCATAGTCAAAGTCTATCATTGCAGTCTTGGCTGTTATTTTTTCTGACTCAAATTCTGAAGCATGTCTCGGAGACCAGATTTAAGGTAGTTAGACCAATGAGGTGGATCCTTTCTTTGATATGGAGTATTGTTGCCTATGCATTATTGCTTCAAAAACCGCTTGGTATATAAACCTTTTTTCTTGAGTAGATTGTTCTAAGCAGAAGTGACAGGCTGAGATAGAGGGATATCTGCAAATTCAACATTGGCCTTTCTGTGAGAGCCTGTAATGAGAGTAGTCTCTATGGGACCTATGAAGACTGCTGGTATCATGTCTAGAATGTGATCTGTAATTCCTTGAATGTTGTGAATGGTCATAGCAATGAGAACTTATTGACTGTGATGTTTGGAGCTGTAATGTGTTTTTTAAACACTGTTTTTCCAGCACTCTTTAATGGCAATAGCACTCTAGTTAGCAATAACCCTTAGAGCTCTCGTCTATAGTGCTCAGGCTGCTCTCCACCCAGCCGTCATTTGCTGACATCACGCCGCCGCTGCCGATGGTCGGAGCAGTGGCCATCTTGGTACACTTTTTATGCTTTCTGATTTCTGTCTCCACGTGGAAATTTTTCAATGTTCCAATAAATACTGCACTATATGCAACTTTATTGGCTCCTGTGGTGAGCTATTTCCTCTAGGACAAGGGCTGTCTTACCATCAGAGTGCCCAGGACGAATTTGGTCCAGTTTAACCCTTTGCCCAGGAAGAATTTGGTCCGGTTTAACCCTTTGGCCGCCTTCCATTCTCAGATGTTTAATGCTTGATTGCCTGTTACCTGTTTTCATCTGGTGAGTGTACATCCAAGAGAGGTGGTGGATTCTTTTGTGTGATCATCAGCACATTTGCACTCTGCACCTTAATTTTACTGTGCCTTATGGTTTCACGGACAATTGCTTCCATTTATGGATATTTGACTATATAATTAACACGTTTAACCACGGACATTGATGTAGAGTTTTATCCTATTTATATATCTCAGATTTTATATTGTAACATAATTTACTACTGCACTTTACTTCATGGATCACCACGGACATTATTGTATATAGATTCTGCCCGTGATACACTTTACTGTTTGGCATTTGCTTTTTGAGCTGTTTAGCTGATATTTTTCATGCTTTTACTTGATGCACTTTACTGTTTCACTCAGCTCATTACATTCATGATGCACTTTACTATATGGTTTGATTTTTAGATTTCGCATTTACTAATGTTTTTTGCATTTTTGTGGTGCACCATTCCGCAATATTTTTTTTTTTAAGCGCAGCACTTTCTTACATTACTATTGTAGGGGATTGTTACCTATACCTTGTGTTCTAGCTGCTCCCCAGATATCGCCAGCGCTCACCAATATATTAGATTCTGTTATATATATATATATATATATATATATATATATGCACAGTATGTTGTCCAGCTGTAGTTATGCCACTTGTCTATTAATTTTTTCTAATGGACAACTTTCCATAAAGTGGTTTATGTTTAGAGGTTTTGGCACTATTCTAGTTTGAGTATATTTAGGACTATTTGAACAGCAGTTAGAAAAACTGAAGGTGGTACAGGGGAAATTATATTTTCTAACACAGATCTGAGCTGAAGTACCGTAACTGCATTGAAGAGAAATACCAACTGTCATTTTGTTGGCTAGAATGTGAGTTAATACAGAGCAATAGGCTACCCAGTTATATGAATTTCAAATATCTCTGTTTCTGTACAGGTGGGGGTACTTCTGCAGGAATAATATTAGTGGCTCTTTCACATGTGCATTTTGTAAAGCAGTTAATGTGGCATCCACCAAGTATTCAATGCAGATGATTTTTTTTCGGGTGCACATGTTCAGATTGGAATTTTTGTTTCACAACCAGTGAATGCTTGGTGAAAGTGACCTTCACTGCTTTTGAAATAATGCCACATAGTGTATTTTCTTGTTTTTTGGTCGTATAATAGTACTTTGAGGTTAGGGTCAACTCTTTTTCCATTTGCAGTGCTTAGAAGAGAACTGAACTCTAGGTAATGCTATCATTGAAGGCAGATATATGAATCTGCATTCCCTCTGGAGCCAGCATATAACATCATATGGGGTGTGCCAGGTCAAACGACTCCAGTTTCTGTATTTTGGCAGCATGAGTGTCTTGTGAGGAATAAGGATATCTTTGGCAAGATCCCTAGGATTAAAAGTGAAGCAGATTCAGAGACTGTAAATCTTTCTGAAATGCACTTACGTAAGTAGCATCCCAAATATTTTCATGTATGTTGATTTCAAATCCTTTCACCACAGATATTTGTCCTTTATGTATATAGAATCATGCTGCTACAACGGAGTGGGTAATGCTTTCCACTGGTGTTGTACATATGCAGTGCACTGCAGTGAGACCTAAACCTAACCGGTCATTTCATTTCATCCAACATGCATATACCACAATTATTGGTAACACGCAAACACCTAGACTTTCCAGCAAACACCTGCATTCATCTTAAAGTAGACATGAATATTACAGGGGACTGGGGACAAATAAAAATGTTATTTGTGCTTAAAGTGGAATTAAACCTGAAAAAAAAAACATGCTGACAGAATTTTTATGACAGCATAGACCCTATTGATCTCTTCTATCAAAAACACCTCTCCCCGTCTGTCAGCATTTCCTGTATGTACACTGAAGCGCTCATGTGCCGTGATGATGTGACTCCTGTGAGCATGTAAGGGAGTGATGTCATTGTGGCCCAGCCAACTAAGCAGCTGAGGGTTTGGAAGATGGCAGCCCCCATGCCTGTCGGGAGTGCTGACATTGCAGCATTGGAGGTGATTGCTTGTTGGGTAACTCTGATATAATGTGCTAGTGTGCTGTGCATGCTAGCACATTATGGCTAACGGCTCTTGGGGCTCTTTATTTAAAAAAAAGGGGGCAGTTTAATTCTGCTTTAAGATAAACTCTGAAGTACTAGGTTTTGTCTTGAATGCATCCTGCAAAATAGCAGTGCACTTTGAAAAGCCAGTATATAAGTGTGTCTAGGTACATGGATATCTGCTGTGTGAGTGGCACTGTTGCTTTTGGCTCGCAAGATTTGAAATAAGAATCAGTGATGTCACTACTGTTCAGCTTGATGGAGAGAAGAGGAAACAACACCCTGCCTCTCCCAAGATGGGTGCCTCCAAAAAGAGACACGGGCAGAACAAGGTATAGTAAGCCAGTATAGCCGGGCTATATGAAGGGTCTTAAACCTCTTCCAAAGTTAAGAGTCCTGCTCCTGTCATTTAAACATCAAACGCCAGAACATCTACTGGGCACTGAGACTGTCCCATTTGACAGTTTAACAACTGGGGCTGGCACCTAATTTTAACTATGTGAAGAAATGATACTTACAGAAGAAAATCTATTTTATAATAAGCTCTTTAGAGTAAAAAAAAACATAGGGAAAGGGCTGGCTGAATATATCTAATAATTATCTATTTGTCTCTTTCTCTCCGTTTTTCAGTTTGTATTTAAGATTTGAAAAATGTTATGCATTAAAAGAGAATGCACATACAGATAGTAATAAAGCCTATAGTCTCAAGTGAATAGTATTTTTTGGCAGTAATCTCAACCATTTACACCTTAAATTTAAACAAACTAAAGGGGGGAGAAGAGGAGAGTGGGAGGAGCAGAAAAGGGAGAAAAGAGGAGAGGAAGGAAAGGCAGGTAGAGTTCCCCCACACTACAGTTGTACAAGTATGGTCAACAAGGATTACCCAGACTGGTCAAGTGCAGATTAGGAACAGCATAAGACCACACTTTGAGAAACTTAGGGTGGGAGTCATGGAAGGTGCTGGTCATGTTTCCATTGACCATCAGGGTTGTCAGGATGCTCTTCACCTCCGCAAGCAAAACAGCCGGCTATTTCAAGGCCCTGGCTATTGCACATTCAGCAGCTATAAATAAATGGGTTGCCAGCTTCTGCTGATAACAAAATAGATCTGGGATTGGGCAGTGAAGAAGTACAAGCTTTGCATCTTTACAAATAGGTATGTGGCAAAGTGTGAACAAACGTTCAAAGACCCTCGACCAAAATCCCAAAAGGTGATGGCAGGAACACCAAATATGGATCTTGTCCACGCGCTGACCACAGCCCATAAAGCCATGGTCTTCCATGGGCTAACCCATAGGTTGGCTTTGATTGGTTGCATGTGAACCCACTTACATGAAACGATGTGTATTCTGATGAACATGTGCTTAAATATGCACATTCTCCTTAAAGTTGAACTAAAACCGCAGATATTTACCTGCTCTCCAATGGTCTGATCTCTGTGAGGTCTCTCGCACGTGCCAGCATCTTCTCCTAGGGTTCTTCTGGTGCCAGACTTCGGCTGTCTTGATTGGCTGTCGCAAGATGATGTAACTCTTACCCATGCACAGGAGTTAGTCATGCTGGCACAGTAGTACTGTGTTGGAAATGTAAAATGAGCTGCACATGTGCAGTTCACTGTACATTGCAGAGACAACTGGTCATTTTAAATTTGACTTTCACTATAAGTGATGCTAGGACAGGTGTCATGCTATACTGTCCCTTTCTATATGAGGGTAATAGTGGACACACAAATTCTGTTATATCAGAATTTGTGTATACACCATTTTCCTCATATAGAGGGAGACTATTTAGAATGAGTTGGTTAGATCAGATCATTATTCTGTTAGGACACCTGTACCAACGTTTCTGGGGACCAGAATATGGGTTAATTTCCTATCCCAATTGTATTTAATGTACTCATATGATCAAAGGCTCATATTTCAATCATTGTAAGTAGTATCTGATCAAAAGTCAGTGTTACTGTGCCTGCCAGACTTCTAATGTGGTATATATTTTAAAATGTCCAAGTAGATTGTATTTTATAAGAGAAAAGACACAAAAAGTCAAAAATATAATTGCACATCACAAATGTTCTAACAAAGACAAATTAACCCAATCACCAGTTGTTAGTTTTCTTTTTCTATTGCAATGCACCTCTACTACTGGAATGCATATATAGTCCTGTCGCTGACAGCACTGACAACCATGGGCAGACTAACCATTTGGAAACTCGGGCACTGCCCAAGGGCCCGGGGTCAGTAGGGGGCCCCATAAGATGCTTTTTTTGAGAGGCTTTTTTGAGTTTGGGCAAGGACACAGGAGCCCCATGATCCCCTATTGCCCAGGGGCCCCATGAGTTCTCAGTCCACCCCTGCTGACAACTAATGCTTGAGTGCAGCTTGCCTCTGCTACTGAGATAGATATATATATATATATATATATATATATATATATATATATATATATATATATAAATATATATTGAATAGATAGGTTTTTGCCAGGTTTACTTTGAATCACATAACAATTTGAAACATGATCAAAAGTTGAATAATTGCTTGTTAGATTGATGTATTCTGTAATGCACATTTAGAACTGTTCCATGCATATGTATGTGTCTATTCTGTGTCTGCGTCTTTGGTTGTGCAGTAAGAAAAACTATTTTCCTCTCAACCTAAAGCTGAACTCCAAGCGAATATAAAAGATCCAAAATAATGCAGCTCTGTATTAATACATCTTTAATTTTATTTTTTTAAGCAGACAGTGGAAGTACCTGAATTTGACCTTATATCAGTGTTTTACATTCTCCTGTACAGCGTAGCGCAGAGTTCAGGAAGAAGAATCAGCACAGGGAGTTTTTTTAGTTGTGCTGCAGTGCTCATATGCTTGCAAGGAGTCTGCTGATAAATGGATAGAACAGAGTGACAGAGGGATGAACTCATCAGTTTGCTTCTTTTCCTTTTACTATCCAGTCACAGGTTGGGGGAGGGATAAGACCTGTAAGTGTTACTTACTGTAACGGTAGCAGCAAAAATAGGTCTCCTGTCCTGTGAGACATGACTCTGCTTTGTGGCAGAGCTGGGTAAATCTTTGGACTGAATGTACAGAAATTTAAATACAGAGAATACAGGTCCCTTATGCATTTAATTTATATATTTAACTGTTTGTCTGGAGTTCGGCTTTAACTGGTTCATTATTCTGCACTATTAATGACACGTTTTTTCCAAACATCTTCCACAGTAGATGGATTAATTGTTGGACTATGTTCATTAAATAGTTCCTTTAAGCAGCAATGTTATCTTTTATTGTGGAATGTGCTGTGAGAAAGTAATTAGGAAAGTCTGTCAAGGAGGGTCTAACCACTGCCATTATCTCCTGTATAGTAATTACATACCTCTTTTTGACAGTCATTCCTATTCTTTTTTTTTCATCGTAATTAGAGTAAAACTACTTTTATGCATAGTTGGATAGAGATTTATCCATATACAAAAGATCTAGTATTTGGCTCTTTTACATTTGACTAGAAAGCTACAAATATGATATGCAATGTTATTTTCCTGCAGACTCAAACTTTCAAGTGTATCTAGACAAAAAATTGTATGTAAAGCTGCCAACCAGTTCTTAGATGTGGGGCTGCAAAAGTTTCTATATTTGGTTTTATTTTTAGCTTATTTTCACCCTGTGATCCTGCCAGTAACACGCTTCTTTTCCTGGTATGACAACGCTCACTAAGCCCTGGTTCACACCGAATGCAATTTCAAAGTGGTGCAATTTGGTCCCAATTAAAGCGCAACTTCAAAGTAGCACTGATATAGACACAGGTGCAATTTAAGTGCCATTTACCTTATAGTCTATGAGAATTAAATTGCACCGAAGTGGTGAAAATGTAATGGAGGAACTATTTTTCAAATAGCTCTACTTGAAATCGCACCTATTAAGACAGTGCCATTGAAATACATTAGATGTGACTTCAGGTGTGATTTGTAACCTGAAGTTGTAGCAGTGTGAACCAGGGCTAACTCTGCTGTATGAGGTCAACAGAACCAACATAAGACTATCAAACGTCTCCCCTCTCCTATTATAGCATGGAGTGGTGTAGTTTTGTAGTCATCAGAGGTGGCTGAAAATAACATTACTGATAACAGTCAGCAACAGTCAGATAACAGAGAGCACAGGAAAGGAGGAACAGAAAAGGAAGAAAAAGAGGAGAGAAAGGTAAGGTAGGTGGAGTTCCCCCAAGACGACAGTAGAGCAAGTATGGTCAACAAGGATTACCCACACTGGTCAAGTGCAGATTAGGAACAGCATAAGACCACACTTTGAGAAACCTAGAGTGGGAGTCATGGAAGATACTGGTCATCTTTCCATTGACCATCAGGGTTGTCAGGATATTCTTCACCTTCGCAAGCAAAATAGCAGGCTATTTCAAGGCCCTGGCTATTGCGCATTCAGCAGCTATAAATAAATGGGTTGCCAGCTTCTGCTGATAACAAAATAGACCTGGGATTGGGCAGTGAGGAAGTGCAAGCTTTGCATCTTTACAAATAGGTATGTGGAAAAGTATGAACAAAAGTCCAAAGACCCTCAACCAAAATCCCACAAGGCGATTGCAGGACCACCAAATATGGATCTCGTTCACGTGCTGACCACAATCCCTAAATTAACGATCACTGTATGATGAGTTTGAGTTGGCAGTTCAGGCCAGAACCCAGTATCAGTGGAGAAGGACCTTATATGCTGCCTCTAAAGTAACGGTATTAAAGGAGCAGTATGATATACTAGACCAGGCTTCACTCCAATCCTCAGGATCAATGGAGGATGCTGAATCACACTCCCATCTAGACATATATGAGGGAGATACACTGGTGCCACTAGCATTTAGCAAGAAATAGGTCATGGATAAAACTAAACCATCCTGAAGGGGGTGCCTCATGGATCTCCTGGATTGAAGACCAGAAGGGAAAGTCCTGAGACCCAAGAAGGTGGCGCATCTATGAAAACCCCTGGGTGGGCCACCACTAGAATATATGTGGTTTTTCAAATCCCAGCAGGAACAAGGGAAAGAAGGGGAAGGAAGGAAGCATGGAAGGAAAAATGGAGACAAAAGCTTGCTGGGATAATGGACCAACTCCCAGAGTTTCAAGCTATGTGCCATAAGAGGGCTCACAGAAGATGGATGGAGTTTTGGGGGGAGCCATAGGAGGGCAGAGACAGGAGTAGGTGCACAATTGGGTATCTCTAATAGTACCCAGAATGGAATGTCAACAGTTGTTTTAAGACTAGTGAGCTGAGAAATGTGCACTGCCAAGTAATAGTTCATTACGTCAAGCCCTCCCCGCAATCTATGAGGCAGCTCAGATGGGCACTGATATGTGGCATTGATGTGCACTGGTAGGCACTGATATGTGGCACTGATGGGCACTGGCAGGTGGCATGGATGAGCACTGAGAGCTGGCACTGATGGACACGGACAGGTGGCACTGCTGGGGCTACACTGATCATCAGGGCACACTGATCATTAGTGCCCTGATGATCAGTGCACATGTCCCCTCCAAGGAATGCAGATTACCGGCTCTCCTCTCCTCATGAGCTGTCAGCATGACAGCTCGTGAGGAGAGAAATGCCGATAACTGGCATTTCCCTGTTTACATGCTCGATCAGCTGTGATTGGACACAGCTGGTCACATGACCGAGCCAACATCTTCGGCTCTTTCCGTGGAACAGTGATCTGCTGTGTCCCAGAACGAGAGAACCGCCTTGTGTCCGTCATTGGACTATATGGCGGACGGGAGGCGGTTAAACTGTGGGAAATTCCACTTCAGTGTTACATGAAGAAAAGCAACAAAGTGACAGAAAGATAGAAATTAATGCAGACACTCCAAATACTGTAAAAGAAGAAGCCAGGTAACAACAGGCTTCAATCAGGAAAATCCACCAAAAGCAATAAAGGCATCCCAGCCAAACGTCTGTCCTAAGTTGCCTGCGTAGCATTAAAACCAGAGCCAGATTCTTGGGGTGAAATTCAAAGACTTCCAACCCACGAGAAACAAAATGTGCTTACGTATTGTGAAACGAACATGATTACAGATGCTTTGACATAACCACTTGCAAGAAACAGATTTATAGAACTGAGATCCGAAATGGGACTATTATAAGGAGTAGATGTTGAGTGAGGGTATTGGAATGCAGTGTTCATGTATTTTGTGGAACAACTACAGCAGTATTCAGTAGAGATATATTATTCAATCAGTAGGTGGCAGTGTTTGAAGATTTGTAGCTGTATCTATGTTATACTCTATGTCTTTTCTCTGAATAAAGTTTCCTGTTTTCTTGTTGCAGTGAAGCAAAAAAAAAAAAAAAAAAACACGTGGGCTGTGCACTGTCTGTTCTGTAGGGCTATATACACAGAACAGATGTCATCTAGGAGCGTGTTTGGATGAGTAAAGCTATTGAAGGCACATTCAAAAGAGACTGGTATACTAACTGAAAGATCTCGTCACTCCTAACCCTCATCCAGTGGGTCCTGTGACTCAGTGGATAGTCTAAGGCTGAAGACTTAGAATATGTAAGGCAGTGGTCCCAACTCTGTGGTTCTCCCCAGGAGAAAAGTAGAAGGGACGATCGCTAAAATACTGTATTTCAGTTGTTCCCTGTACTGGAAAGACTGCTAGAGAATGTCTATTGATGTTTTACTGGCTCTCTGCACCAATGATTCTGTTAGTATATCGAATGTGATGTGTCATGGATGAAATAGTTGCAGTAGTGTAGTGTAGTGTAGTGTAGCGAAGTTGCAGTAAAGCGTTATAAATGCTTTTGAGTTTGCACATTCCTTTATTTCAAGTGCTAGCCCCAGGCCAGGAAATGTGTCAGTGTGCTTTTGGCCAGGAGGAATGTGCCCAAGATGGTGGCTACAAAGGCAGGTGAGTGAGTGCTCTATACAAGAAGGAGTGAGGCGGGAATGATACAGTTGGTGACAACATCTTCCCAATCCAGTTCCCCTACAAGTGGACTGCATACTTTACCATTGAAGACTTTGATTGTACACTTTAAGGACACATTGCAATATACTGTTTGTTAACGTGGAATATTGTTAGATGTTGTTTGCTTTGGATTCAGAAGATGCATTGTTGTATGGTGAATGTACTGAGCTGGGTTAAGGTGACTGGTGTTTATTATTCTATATTTGTTTATGTTAG